CCCCGCGGCTGGTCCCCGCGCCCGAGTGCCCGGTCAAGGCTGCATGGCCGCGGTCAGCGGGACATCCCAGCGCGGCTCAGCCAGGGCAGCGCGCCCTCTCCCCGGAGCACCGGACAGCCGCGCAGCTCCTCCTCCAGCTGCCACCGTCTAGCTGCCGCTCCTCCCCCTCCACTCGCCGCTGCAGGGACCCTGGGCGACAGCAGCTGCGGGGACGCGGGGCCGTGAGCCCGGACCTCCGGCCTCGGCTCCTAGCGGGGCCCTCCCGGCCTGGCTGCTCCCCGTCTCCCCGCTGCGCCTACGGCCGGGACTGCTGCCTCCGGTTCTCCGGCCGCGCGCTCCTCTCCCCCTCCAGCTCCTCCTACGGGTGGCGAGCTCTACCGGATCCCCGATCCGCGTGCGCCGGCGTCCCCAGCCTTCCCGCCCGCAGGTCCCACCTCCTGCGCCTCCCTGGCGGGCCGCACCGGGGCGGGGAGGAGCGCGGAGCCAGCGCGCTCGGGTTACAAAGTTTCAGCTCCGGTCCGCGCGCCCGGAATAAAAGAGGGGGTGGGGCCGGGCGCCCAGCGAAACTCGTGGGAGGGGGCGGGGCCGCCCCAAACTGCCGGCTCGGGTTACTTTCCCTCTCTAAGCCCTTCTCCACACACCCGGAGTGGCCCTGGCCCTGCTTTCCTTTCCAGGAGGCGGGCTGTAGATCGTGCGTGCATCCTGGATAGCCGCTTGGCTTCGGTGAGGCCCGGGTCCTGTTGGTGGTAGAACAGTCTGTCCCGCTGTGAGCAATAATACACTAAATAATAATAATAATAATAATAAAATCAAAAATCAAGTAAGATCTGCATGTTCTGTTCATTTAAGTGCTTTGTATCAGTATTACTCTGCGAGCAAGCCCTCCTCATTTTCAGTTTCTTAAGGAAAATTATTATGCTTTATTTATATTTTGGATGACATTCTGACAATTTAACTCACTTCTCTTATAATGCTGCTGCAGTCTTTCCACTTCGCAACTAAAATGAATCATAATAAATTGGTGGCTTTTAGCGTTCTATATTGCTGTATTATAATACTCACATTTGCAAAGTGAGCTAATGCTCATTCGGATTAGTCATCAATCGTGAAGGGAAAGTTGTCAGCCAGCCCAAAAAAGAACAACAAGGAGGAAAAAACTGCGTGTGCACAGTTTCAGTGACTGATAGGAGAAGGGCCTTTTTACTTAAGGAGCTCAGTCTGGAGCCAGAGTTAACCCTGAACTGGGAGGAAATCCTAAATTTGAATATCCACCTCTCTTCTCTGGAGCCCCACTGCACTCCCTCTCCAGCTCCAGGGAGCTCTGCCTCCCACTCACAGAGATTCTTTTGGCACTTAGAGATTTTTAGCTTCAACTGGGTTCTTTATTTACATCTTCCCCTTGGAGACTGGTAACCCTTTGAGGGCAGAACTTACCTAAGATTATTTAGAGCTTTTTCTCCTCTCCCTCTTCCTACCACCTAGCTGGTAACACTCAGCACGGAGTCAAAGGTATGGTTGGTATTTATTTGTGCAACATGAATGTGTGAATGCCCTCTGTGTGCCAGCCACTGCATTCATGACTTAGTGTGATGTGTAGTGTTTATGCAGGTCCAATTTGGATGCACATGTTGGAAGAATGATAGCAGAAGGCCTAGGCATCTGCTGTATAATATGATGAGCTGGAGTACATAAGAAGAAACATTTTAACAAGTGAAACAACAAACCCACTTTCCATGCAACTTATCTACAGGACAGAGGAGCCACAACACAGAGAGATATGCAGTCATCAAATACAATGGAGTTTTTTTGGTTGTTTTTTGAGTAAGAGTTATTGATAGACTAGGAAACTTGGTAAAGGCAAGGACAAAATTCCAGATGTATAGTTGTCCAAAAAAAAAAAGATGACTTTTTAAGCTTAATAATATCAATTAACCATCTTTTCTGTATTGTGGGAAGCAGGAAGGATTTAGCATTTGTCACTGGAGTACCTGGAAAATGTAACCAATCTTGTCCACAACATTAGTTACAGCAATCACTGTATTTTGTGTCATCTCTGATTCTGATTAGGGTGACCCCGTAATTTCTTTCCAAACCAAGATATTCCTGAATCTGAACGGGGAGCTATCAATACTTATGTTGGAATAACAGGAATAAACTGGGCCAGATGGTCCCAGTAATTAATGAAGAAAGAGTCAAGTACTAATGAGTTTGCCATAGACTCTTATTTGATGTTTTCACGATGTTTTCAAATTCATTTGTATTAGTCATTACCAGCGAATAAAAAGCTAAAATTCTCAGAGTCAAACAGGAATTTGCAAAATTTCATCCCACTGAGTCAACACACTATCTGAGCTCAGTACACAAATACATCATCGCCAAAGAGGAAGGCCATGCTAAGATCTTTAACCCAGATGACCAATTAACTATCTAAATGAATTAGTGTTCTGTTTACACTTCAAGTCCTGAAAGCTAATTACTATTTAAATAAGGCCTTCTCCCTTAATTATAGCTGTTAGCATGTGAAAGTTTGAGGGAGGCCTGCCTTCCTGTCTAAAATGCAAACTTGAAGACACCCAAAGTCACTAATGGCATATAATAAAGGCAGAATCTTCGGTAAAAAGCTTTGGAAATTAAAGTGAATACAAAAGGATCATTTACGAATTTGCTAATTTTTCTTCTGTGCTAGCTGTAATCTTAGCTATCCTGTTACCTTGCGTGTGTGTGCGCATTACCAAACTGCAGCCACGCCATCTTCTTGAGAAGCAGAATTTCTCACTTGCAGCTTGCTGTTTACCACAGTCCCCTGACAGAGCAGGAGCTGAATAAATCCTTTTTCTAACTGAGTTGAATTTGTAGAGCCCAGGTTCCCTAGGTTTCTCTTCTCAGCACCTTTCTTTTTCTGATTTTGGGTCTCCTGCGCATTTAGGTCATTTATTCAGTCAATGAGCTACTTATTCAGTACTTGTAAGACACTAAACTAGGCACAAGAAAGACTTAGAAACAAATGCCAAGTAGCCTTTATAGGTCAAAGAGAGCATGTAATTTTCAGAGGGGGGTTTTCTTCTGCAGTCTTCAAGGAAAGGACCCTGCTAGACCCAGACAGAGAGTTCTAAGGATCGATGTGATATTAACATGTTAAGCCTGAGCCAGTCTGTATTTTATTAATTTTTTGAGAACTCGGGATGGAGCATTTTAGTTTAGTGGTTATTACTATAATTTATTTGATAAACACAAGAGGCGCAGAAGGAGCAAACTTTGAAACAAATTAATCTGTAAACACCCAGGCTCCTTCCCCAGTCCAAGACAACGTTTCCCAGAATGAAAGAAGAAATGATTATTTAGAGAGCTGCTCCAAATAGTCTACTTCATGTCACAATCTAAGATTCTTCTCTTGATTATCATTTTTTCCACCCCATTGCTTTTTTACTCTTTTCAGAACATTGAAAATTACTTAATATTATCTGCACACATAATTGTCTCTTGTATGTCTCTTGTGTGATCTTTTATCTTGAGAGACCCCAAACAATGCTTCAAAATGCTGCCTGGGAAATATCATACTGGGTTTGCATTAAGCATTCTTATCTATGTCATTACCTCACTGCAAAGTCATCTGTTAAAGGTAAATTACCCAGGCTGCCAGTGATCTTGTTTTTCATTCAATTCCATTTGGTCTGAATTCTTCACCCCATAGTCATGTAGTTATCTTCCCAAATATGCCAAGTTCCTTATCAGATAATTCAGGTAGAAAAGTTCTCAAACTTTTTTGTTGTGGTTGTTTTAAGTCTCACAAGATCTGCTCTACTTATTCGAATTCTTTTGATCATTCAGTTACATTAAGTCATCCTACGGTAGGAAAGCTGACATTTGGCTTTCTTTCACTGAGCCTTACCTGTAACTCAGAGATCAGTGTCAGTTGGATAAATGTTCAAAAACCTCACTTATTTTAAACTAGACTTGGAGAAGTTGATGACAATTTTCTAACTCACCAAAGAGAAGCACTGACACCATTAAATCCTATTTTTCAGTATTTACATTTGTATTTTTGAAGAGTTGTTATATGAGGCCATACCCAGAAAAAAGCTTCTTGATGTGCAACTGTTAAAATAGCTGTAGACCAAGAAACAATCAATCCGACATGTTCCCCTGCAGACTGATGCTACGTTTCCTTCCAGCTATTCACTTGCAGAGTGTCCAAAAAGAACCGAAAGCACCAGTTATACACGTGTATATTATATATAGCTGCTTCTTCAGATTTCTTTCCTCTATAGGCTATTACAAGATACTGAATATAGCTCCCGGAACTTGTTGTTTATCTATTTCGTATACAGTAGTGTAATAGACAAGAACAAATCTGACTCCATATTAAATCTGTTTCTTTGGCTTTAACGCTGTGCCCTGTTTTCGAGGCTTAGTTTTGCTAGCTCTGCACATTTTGCAAAAGAATATTGCCTTTAGCCTGTCTGGTAAACAGGAGAGCCTATTCTCAACGCTCTGACCTTTAAGGATATTAACACTTCTGCACTTATATAAAGATAACAAGTTGCAAAATGGAAAATAACATTTGTTTTGTTGGAGGTTTACATGATCTGACCCATGTGGACAGCTACAAGAACAAAGAATTTCTACACCAAGAAGTTTTGCAACACCCAACGGCACCCCCTTCCTTTTCAGTATAAAAGGAGCCTGAATTCTGACTTGAGTAAGATGGTTCTCCAAGACAATAGTCTGCCATCCTCTTGGTCTGCCGGCTTTCTGAATAAAGTCGCTATTCCTTGCCCCAGCACCTCATCTCCTGATTTATTGGCCTGTCATGCGGAGAGCAGAACGAGTTTGGACTCAGTAACAGCAGTGTGCATCTTAATCCCAAACTCCTAATTTATCCCTCCCCCTCTTCCTCCCTTGGTAACCATAAGTTTTCTATGTCTGTGAATCTATTTCTGTTTTGTAAGTAAGTTCATTTGTCTCATTTTTTAGATTCCACGTATAAGTGGTATCATATGATATTTGTCTTTGTCTGACTTACTTCACTTAGTATGGCAATCTCTAGGTCCATTCACGTTGCTGCAAATGGCATTATTTCATTCTTTGTTATGGCTGAGTAGTATTTCATTGTATATATACCACATCTTTATCCATTCACCTGCCGATGAACATTTGGGTTGCTTCTATGTCTTCGCTGTTGTATATAGTGCTGTTAAGAACACTGGTCTGCCTGTATCTTTTTGAATTAGAGTTTTTGCCTTTTCCAGATGTATACCCAGGGGGTAGGATTGCTGGATGATACGGTAACTCTATTTTTATTTTTTCAAGAAACTTCCATACTGTTCTCCATAATAGGCCTAGTAAACTCTTAACATTCGAAATAAAACACAGATCTGAGGGTCATAAACATACTAAGCCACAATTTTACAAAATTCCCTGAAGTGTCAACAAGAAGAACATAAAAGTAGTTGTTTACTATTTTGTATTTTCCTAATTTGACTTTGGCGTA